ACCAATTATCGCGGAATAAGCCTTCTTAATATTGCCTATAAGGTCTTGTCGACGATACTGTGTCAAAGACAACTGTTTGACCAGATTTTTACAGAACGTACCTGCTGCCCGGCAGATTATCAGCCTGACATAGGTGCGCTACTCAGACGTGATAACCGAATCGTAGTAGGTGACTTTAACGCCCACCATGATCTTTGGCATTTAAGCCTGACAAATTATCATAGGGGAAACCTATTGGCCGAGCAAATAGACAGTTCGACATTCTACACCACGAACGACGACGCCCCTACTTGAGTAGGTTGAATGAGGATGTGCCGAATGAGTGTCCGGCATGCGGAGAGACCCCACATGACTCGAAACATCTCTTCGCATGCCCGGAAAACGCGACAACCCTAACGGCCTTGTCCCTGTGGACAAACCCCACAGAAGCTGCATGCTTCCTAGGGTTGCCGTTAGTGGAACTTGACGACAACGACTGAGATACCAACCGATCTGGGCGGGGTTGTTGTAGCCGCTACAACAACAACAACAACGCCCCACGCCGTCGAGGCTGCACGCTTCCTGGGGCTACCGCTAGTAGAGCGTGACGACAACGATTGAGGGACTAACCGATCTGGGCGGGGTTGTTGTAGCCGCTACAACAGCAATGCTCCCACCTAGATTGTGAGTAGCTGCACCAGTTCGATAGACCTAACAGTGTAGGTATGTATGTATGTAGTAGCCAAATCGGCCCATATTAAACTTTTATTCTTTTTTCGCGGTAACTTCCGCTGGAAACACCCATATGTAATTCCAAATTTCAAACTTTGTTTCGTTAAAATTTCAAGCTTTTAAATTTTAATTTTTGGTATGCAGTTTATTTAATTAAATAATAATATTAAATTTTAGTATGCTAAATATAAATTTGAAGTTGCTAAAAAATTGCAGAATTCTATAATTGTGCAATTTTTTATATGGACGAAAGTGCACCACTTAATACCAAAAATTTTTCAAGAAATTCTAATTAATGCAACTTTCTGATTTTTTTTTAATTTTCTGTACAAACTTTGAAATTTGCAGTTATGTATATGAATTTTGTTATAGGCGGGCTCTGTGACTGAGTGGTTAGAGGTGCGTACTGCCACTACGTTAGATCTGGATTGGATCCCTGGTTCGAGCAACATCTAAATTAGAAACAATTTTGTCTAATAGCGATCACCCAAGTGTATTTCGGCTTGAAAAAGCATATCATGAAAACCATTTGCCACTTTGAGGCGGCGTAAAATTGTAGGTCCCTTCATTTGTATAACACAAGGACGCACACCATAAATTGGATGGAAAACACGGCAAAACACTTAAGCAAAAGTGTAAGCGCCAAAATATTATTATTAGTATTTCTTTTTTTAGTGAGTAAATTTCTTTGTTCTGAATTGCACATTTTATTTTATGTTTAATTTTTTTACAGCATTATATACTTACATATGTACATAGCCATATCATATAGTACGTGGAATTAGGTTCGGAAGTAAAATTTTTTTGTTTTAAAGGTTTATAGAAACTCAAGTGTGTTTGATTATGCAGCAAATGGCAGTATAACTTTTCTAGAAAAAAATTATTTCGAAATCCAATATGGATATTCAGGGAAAGGTGTAAATGCATAAACCGATTTTCCATTATTACGCGTTTAGATGAATTGCCCTAATGTAATAAAAAAAGTTAATCAAACTGACAAAATGCTTTGTTCGGCAAGTTTAATATGTATCTTTTGAAGCGTTTTTTAAGTTTTTTTTGGAAAGAAATACATATCATCGATGTTTTTGCAAAACCGCCCATCGACCAGCTGCAACCGCCTAAATCGCCGTTGTGGCAAAAATGAGATTTGGTAACCCTGAGCTCCAGGCATCGATATTTATGCATACAAATCGTTAAATCGTTATTAAAACAACAGATTTGTAAAATAATAGCTATCAAGGCAATGCCTTCAAAGAATAAACCGTTTTTTCGCTCTCCTAAAAAATTTGAAGAGCCGTAAGATGGGCGGTTTTACAATAGGGTGATGGGCGGTTTTGCAAAAACATCGACGATATGTATAGTCTCATTTTCGTTGTTGGTGTTTCCGACAGGGCAGGAGTGTGATGTAATGTGGAACGATTTTCCGTCATCCCTTGTCAAATTTGGTTTGGAGACAAACCGGTTTCGGCGTTGTGCCATCTCCAGTGGCATATTTCGTTCTCGAGCGGAACGGAAAATCATTCCACGTTACATCAAATATGTATACCTTCCGGAACTTTAAATTTTTTTTTCAATACTAAGGGCCGTTTTCTGAAGATCTCTTAAAATTTATCTGAAAAGCTACTGGAGAAAACGGCCATAACGTAATTTTTTAAAGGTAATCTTATTTGTATATAAAAATAATAGACCGTAGTACTCCTTAGAGCTGGTTTTCACTGCGTCATATTTCGACGACAAAATTTGTGGGCATTTTTTGACACAACTTTATCTCCTTTGATCCATTGCTTCACCGAATATACCATGGGCCAAAATCGGACAGATAGCCGATTTAATAGCGCATGTAAATGACTGAAGACCTGTTCTGATCTAAAAAAAATATCGATAGGCCGTTTTTAGGTCCCATTTTACAATGTTTTTTCACTTATTTGACGACAAATACCATTGAATTTGACATAGTGAAAACCAGTCTTTTAATTTGATTTGTTAATAAATAATTTTTTCCAACTATCGTTATTTCAACTACCAAGCAATGTATCGTTGGATTTTATGGAAAAAAATGTAGAGCTACATCGAACTACATATATATTTCACAGTGTACATAGTACATTTACAACTTACTACATTAGGTAGTCTAAAAATACTTACATTCAACGATAGTATGATTCATAAAAACTGACACTCTTTTTCCAAAAAATGCTCGTTTCATGCACTACAACTAACTACAATTCTAACTAAGCTTACGTCATACTCGTATTATGTACTCTAGAAATGAACAAAATTAAATACCTTTAGTTGCTATTAAAAAAAAAAATGTTGTGTCAACTTAAAATGGCTTTGCCTCTTCTAAGTAACTCAGTATT